ATCTGCGAACACATCTTCGAACCCACACGGGAGAAAAGCCTTTCAAGTGCACAGTGTGTGAGAAGACGTTTGCTCGAAGTGGACATCTGCGAGCACATCTCCGAACCCACACGGGAGAAAAGCCTTAGGAGTGCAGAATATGTGAAAAGAAATTTTCTCTGCAAGGGAATTTGCCAAAACATGTCCGAACTCACACAGCAGGGGTAAAGAATGCGGTGAAAAGTGAGCATAGTGGTGCAAGCATCTTTTCTTTAAGTGTCAGCTAATGTTTCCTTATACAGTATTCCAGTATGGGCAAGGAAAATACGATGTACCAGATATTCAAGTGGCGCAGATCATTTAATCCAAATATGCATATTCTAGCAATAACAATTACCGTATTTTCTGTACTGTGGTGCTATTACGAGTTTTTCGCTTCAATATATTATACAATACATTTCTCGATTATTGCATTCTACCAGCATATGTAACTGCATGTAATAAATCTGTGCATATTTTGTTTGCCTCGTGGGTCTTGTTCCTTAACTTAATACTCGACTCCCAAGTTTTAATAAAAAAAGTTACTGTGTACAGAATGGAACTAGTTTCTTTGTTGTCTTGCTTATCCATCTCGTTAAGAGTAGTATTTATTTCAGATAGCTGACATGTGATTTTTCGAATAAAATGCACCTTCTATTACTATCCAAAAGTGTGGTTTTTGAATATTCAATAATTTTTCCAATCACACGCCTCTCATGTACACAGTATTCAGCAAATACGACCATGATAACCTAGTTACACCAAACTGTCGCACATGGTGCAATTTTCTTTCATCGGCGAATTATTGTGACAATATCAAAAATCCAAAAATGATATGGCTTTTCCGCAGTCAGACGATTGTCGCTGGTCTATCAAATTTAAACCATCTACCATTCTGTTGTAATTTTATCGATTCCTGGTCGAATCCACACCAGTGGTTTTTAGCTTCCATTACGATAGCTGTTCGGTTAAGATTTTCGTTCCCAGAAAAACCGTTTAGCGATAGAATCATTTTTCTCAATTGGTATATCGCAGCGATAGTGCGTATAGAGGGGGGAGGGGGGTAAAATTTCATAACCGTTTGGTCTCAATTCATTTAAACTGTTTTCACTTGCCGCTTACCCGTTTTAATTGTTTTTATCAGTCGTCAATCTGATTAATGCGGGGGGGGGGGCGGGCAGTGCGTGTTCCTGGAGCTCGCTCTCGTCGCCCATACTCTTTCCCCCCGGTGGCCCCTGACGGACGCTCCGCCAAGCTCCCGTGGCCGGGAACAAAGGGAAATTTTTCATCCAATGACGTGGACGACATTTCCTCCCGGGGACTGAACTCTCTTAAGTGCCTCTGGCCGTGCGCCTCCATCAAACCCTTCACAATACACTACCCTCCTCACAGACGTGCCCCGCCCTCTCTACCCCGCCCTCTCTACCCCGCCCTCTCTCCCTCTCCCACACACACGGTCCCAGCCGCCCCTGCCTCCCAGCGGACCCGACCTCGCTCAGAGCAGCCAGACGGTGGGAGCGCGGCCGCCGCAGCAGCACGTCCTCTCTCTCCCACCTCCTCTCCCTGCCTTCCTCTCCCTCCCTCTCCCTCCCTCTCCCTCCCTCTCCCTCTTTCTCTCTCTCTCCCTCACTCTTCCTCCCTCTTTCCCTCTCTCCCTCCC